TGGCCCCGGGGCCCTCTCCCACTAGTGACATCTCACAAAACGCTGACAGCTGGGTTAAGCCCTGGCTTCCTCTCCCACTAGTGACATCTCACAAAACGCTGACAGCTGGGTTAAGCCCTGGCTTCCTCTCCCACTAGTGACATCTCACAAAACGCTGACTGCTGGGCTAAGCCCTGGCTTCCTCTCCCACTAGTGACATCTCACAAAACGCTGATAGGTGGGTTATGCCCTGGCTTCATCTCCCACTAGTGACATCTCACAAAACGCTGACAGCTGGGTTAAGCCCTGGCTTCCTCTCCCACTAGTGACATCTCACAAAACGCTGACAGCTGAGTTAAGCCCTGGCCTCCTCTAAATAGTGACATCTCACTAAACGCTGACAGCTGGGTTTAGCCCTGGCTTCCTCTCCCACTAGTGACATGTCACAAAACGCTAACAGCTGGGTTAAGCCCTGGCTTCCTCTCCCACTAGTAACATCTCACAAAACGCTGACAGCTGGGTTAAGCCCTGGCTTCCTCTCCCACTAGTAACATCTCACAAAACGCTGACAGCTGGGTTAAGCCCTGGCTTCCTCTCCCACTAGTGACATCTCACAAAACGCTGATAGGTGGGTTATGCCCTGGCTTCCTCTCCCACTAGTGACATCTCACAAAACGCTGACAGCTGGGTTAAGCCCTGGCTTCCTCTCCCACTAGTGACATCTCACAAAACGCTGACAGCTGAGTTAAGCCCTGGCCTCCTCTAAATAGTGACATCTCACTAAACGCTGACAGCTGGGTTTAGCCCTGGCTTCCTCTCCCACTAGTGACATGTCACAAAACGCTAACAGCTGGGTTAAGCCCTGGCTTCCTCTCCCACTAGTAACATCTCACAAAACGCTGACAGCTGGGTTAAGCCCTGGCTTCCTCTCCCACTAGTAACATCTCACAAAACGCTGACAGCTGGGTTAAGCCCTGGCTTCCTCTCCCACTAGTGACATCTCACGCAACCTCTTATTCTTCCTGTGTTATTTTTCACGCTTAACCTCCAAAAAACAATTTTCTTTCCATAAAGTCTTGGACAATAATAAAGACAGGTATTCTGCACCTGTCTTCATCATGACTGCAGTTTTGCTGCAAAGAAATTTTTGAAGCTGCTGTGGCTGCTGAAGCTTCAGTGGACTGACTAGCGTTAACTTCATGGCCCTGCTGAAGTCTCCTAGCTCGGCTGGACACGGCTTTATTACCTCCAATGTAAATATTATAATGAAGAGTGAGGCAGCGTACTGTTGATGTCAGTTATATATTATATGTTATTGATATCAATGTTTTTGATGTTATTATTAGCGTGTTAATAATGGCGCTGTGGTGGTACCCACAGAATACTTCGCACTGTATCTGGCAGCGAGACGAGGTGATGTTGGTATAGTGAAGACTCTGCTCCAACATGGTGCCAACCCCAACCTTGAGACATCGTGGGGTATGTTCCTCAACCTTTTTTAGTTACCTAAAATATTCTTTAACAAGAAAGTGCTAAACCCATATGTCATTCAGTGTTGTTTATTATGTGTATTTTTAATACTGAACTGTTTTATTTTCTCGTACCCATTTGACCTCGTGTTTGGTGAGGGGTTGTATATTGCTGGCTAGTTTCATCGTGTAGGTTCATCTGATGGCAGGTCCTGTACACCCGGTGGGGAGATTAGTCTTCGTTATGACCATACTAGGTGCGCTTCCGTTCCCTCAGGATAACCGTCGCATATAGAGACCAGACTAAACACTCCTTGCGTTGGCCTTGTATGTTGACCTGTGAACTTGTTTCCGCTTAAAGAATAAAAAAAACACAATACCATGACTGGAACAATACACATAACTAGCACATGGGAGATTGAAATTTATGACGACGTTCTGGTCCGACTTAGATCATTAACTAGTCACACACGGAGTTGTTATAAGATTGTCTTATATGTGCAGGTTGTTTGCATATTGTTTCTGTCTGGTAGGTGAGCACGTAGGGGGGACTGCAGCCTGCAGGTGAGCAAAACACTGCTTTAGTAAGATGATAGAGGTCAGAGGGAAGGTTGAGTGCTGGCCTCGCTGTAACAACTCCAGGTGATATTCCTTTTCACATGGTCTGGTGAGGCGGTGTATCGCTAAGGACAAGGAACTTTGAAGAGATGGCACCACTTACGGCTGTGGCTGACAATTTGTAATCTGTTATGTTGTATACTTCTCAATTAGCTCTGGGGTTGTTGTTGTACACGTGTAAGCCTGCCTTTGATGAATTTGATAGTAGGTGGAATATAAACCTTGTATGCATACAATTCATAACTCTTATATACCATCTTCAACCACACAAGGACAATTTACAGATCACCTTTGTGATACTCTGCATCATTCCTCTCATCCCACAAGCAAGACAACTTTTATGTTGAGCACCACGACAAATAATTCTTCCTCTGCCTATTGTCCAAGTTGCAACTTTTGTCCGTCCTGCAAGAGGACAACAGAGGTACTGTAGCATGAGCCAAATATGTCATTTTCATACAGCATGCAGCAGATGCAAACACACATCCTGCATTCCATCAGTAGTCGTGTAAAAGTCCGGTAGTTTACTGCAGATGTGAGTGAAACGAGCCTCTGTTTGCACGAGAAATGATTTACATTTTGTAAATGTAACACAATCTGAGTGAAGGGTGGGCTCCAAGTTAGCTTTCCTTGTAGCTAAAATTCACCGTGTAGGTCAGTCCCTAGCTTGTATTCAGGTGATTAATACATCAAGCTCTGTCCTCTGCTTGGGTGTGTAAGTTTTAGCCAGAGAGAGAGAGAAAGAGAGAGAGAAAGAAAGAGTGCTCCTCTTGCTCTCTCGTTTGTTAATTTACATTATAGTATTTGCCAAAATCTCATGTTAACATACTCGGTGTACATTGGGTAATACACAGGTACTCAAGATAATCAAACCTTTGTGGTATTGTTTTTGCCTCGATTTCTTTACTGATTTGCTCCTTGGATGGTATTCTTATCATTACAGCCGGTAAAACAAGCCATGTAAACAGTACCTGTTCACTCGTAATAGGTACTTCCAGCAATTTTGTAATTCTGAACAGCCGTGAGCTCATACCGCTGAGTATGTATATCTTAACATTAAGAGTTCTTTACTAATTCCCTTCAACAGTGTTCGTAGCTGCCAGATTTTTGCCATGGACCTCTTGAATAATGACATGCACATGCAGATTGCCTTCCTGTGCCTTGAACCACATTCATTGAAGAAGAGCCTTTTAAACTGTCTAGATAGTGGACCAAGTTCGAGTCCCCGCCCCCCAGCCTTATTTTTATCGTTGGAGAGTTGCTCATTTACGACTTACCTGGAGTTTATGGATATAGTACATCATGAGAAAAAGATTAATCTTTACGGATATTAATTATAAATAATAAAAAAAAATCAGGATTTATTGGAGGATGGGCAGCTCGGCTCTAGGTCTCTGGATCAAGAGCCCTTTCACCAGCAACAAAGGAGTACTCTCCCTTAAAGGTGTCTTGAACATTAATAGAGCTGATGTTGCCTGCCACAGGTGTGACGGCGCTGCAGGCAGCGGCGGTGTGGAGTCAGACAACCATAGCCACGTTACTGTTGTCTGCCGGGGCGCTGCCTGACACCACCAACACTCATGGTAACCCTCCATCAACACCTTCCCTTCCCCCTCCTCTCTGCTCCGTCTTTATCACTGTTAAAAGTCATCCATAATATCCCTCATTGTTTCTTATCATTCATCATCTTCCTCATTACCTGTGACACATTTCGAGAGTTGATCTCCTGGCATCGCAAGGCTCTGCAACCAGGCTCTGGTACCAGGCTCTGACATCAGGCTCTGGCATCAGGCTCTGGTACCAGGCTCTGGCACCAGGGACTCTGGTACTAGGCTCTGGCACAGGCTTGTTCCAGGCTCTGGCATCAAGCTCTGGTACCAAGGCTTTGGTACCGGCTTATGCACCAGACTTTTTGGTATCAGGCTCTAGCTCCTGGCTTTTGAAACCAAGCTCCGGTACCAGGGCTCTGGGCACAGGCTATGGTACCATGCTCTGGTCACCAGGCTCTGGTTCCAGGACTCTGGACATCAGCTCTGGTACCAGGCTTTGGTACCTGGCTCTGTCCACCAGGCTTTGTAACAAGCTCTGGTACCAGGCTCTGGCACCAGGTCTGGTACCAGGCTCTGGTACCAGGCTCTGGTACCAGGCTCTGGCATCAAGCTCTGGTACCAGGCTTTGGTACCAGGCTCTGGCACCAGGCTTTGGTACCAGGATCTGGCACCAGGCTTTGGTACCAAGCTCTGGTACCAGGCTCTGGCACCAGGCTTTTGTACCAGGCTCTGGCACCAGGCTTTGATACAAGGCTCTGGTACCAGGCTCTGGCACCAGGCTCTGGTACCAGGCTCTGGCATCAAGCTCTGGTACCAGGCTTTGGTACCAGGCTCTGGCACCAGGCTTTGGGACCAGGCTATGGTACCAGGCTCTGGCACTGGCCTTGGTCCAGGCTTGGTATCTGGCCTGGCTTCAGGGCCTCTGGATACCAGTCTGTGGCCACAGGGCTTCTGGCACAGGCTACTGGTACCAGGCTTGGCATCAAGCTCTCGTACCAGGCTTTGGTACCAGGCTCTGGCACAATGCTTTGGTACCAGGCTCTGGAACCAGGCTTTGGAACCAAGCTTTGGTACCAGGCTCTGGCACCAGGCTTTGGTACCAGGCTCTGGCACCAGGCTCTGGCATCTGGCTCTGGTACCAGACTCTGGCCCAGACTCTGGTACTAGGTCTAGCTCCTGGTTTGGTTAGAGGCTCTGGCATCAGGCTCTGGGGTACCAGACTCTGGCTCACAGACTCTGGTACTAGCTAGGCTCTGGCAGCAGGTTTGGTACAGGCTCTGGCACCAGGCTTTGGAACCAAGTCCGGTACCTGGCTTTGCACAGGCTTTGGTACCAGTTCTGGCACCCAGGCTCTGGTACCAGGCTCTGGCATTCAAGCTCTGGTACCTGGCTTTGGTCCAGGCTCTGGCACTAAGGCTTTGGTTCCAGGCTTGGCACCAAGCTTTTTGTAACAAGCTCTGGTACCAGCTATGGCACAAGGCTTGTTACCAGGCTCTGGCACCAGGTTCTGGTACCAGGCTCTGGCATCAAGCTCTGGTACCAGGCTTTGGTACTAGGCTCTGGCTCTCTGGCACAAGGCTTTTGGGTTACCAGGCTCTAGCACCAGGCTTTGAAAACCAAGCTCGGTACCAGGCTCTGGCCCAGGTATGGTACCATTGCTCTGGCACCAGGGCTTGGTACCAGGCTCTGGCATCAAGCTCTGTGTACCCAGCTTTGGTACCAGGCTCTGGTCACCAGGCTTTGGATACCAGGCTCTGGCACCAGCTTTGGTACCAAGCTCTGGTACTCCAGGCTCTGGCTCAGGCTCTGGTATTACAGGCTCTGGCACAGTCTTATGGTTCCAGGCTCTGGCTTCAAGCTTGGTACCCAGGCTTTGTACAAGGGCTCTGGCAACCAGGCGTTGGACCAGGCTTGGCACAGGCTTTGGTACCAAGCTATGGTCTCTCAAGCTCTGGCACCAGGATTGTTACCAGGCTCTGGCACCAGGCTTTGATACAAGGTTTGGTACCAGGCTCTGGCACCAGGCTATGGTACCAGGTCTGGCGCAAGCTCTGGTACCAGGACTTTGGTTCCGGCTCTGGCACCAGGCTTTGGGAACAGTCTCTGGTTCCAGGCTCTGGGGCACCAGGCTTTTGGTTTAGGCTCTGGTATCAGGCTCTGGACTAGGCCTCTTGGTCCTGAGTGGCACAGGCTCTGGCTACAAGGCTCTGGTACTGGGCTTCTGGAATCAAAGTCTGGTACCAGGCTTTCGGTACAGGCTTGGTCACTATGCTTTGGTACCAGGGCTCTGGCACCAGGCTTGGAATCCATGCTTTGGTACAAGGCTCTGCCACCAGCTTTGGTTACCAAGGTTGGCACCAGGCTCTGGCTTCAGGCCTTGGTACCTGATTCTGGCACCAGACTCTGGTACTAGGCTCTAGCCCAGGCCTCTGGTTCAGGCTCTGGCATCAGGCTCTGGTACCTGACTCTGGCACAGACTCTGGTACTAGGGCTCTGGCAGCTGGCTTTGGTACAGGCTCTGGCCCAGCTTTGGAACCAAGCTCCGGTACCAGGCTCTGCACAAGGATTTGGTCACCAGGCTCTGGCAATTCAAGCTTGGTACCAGGTTTTGTACCAGGCTCTGGCACAAGGCTTTGGACCAGGCCTGATGGCACAGGCTTTTGTTAAACAAGTTTGTACCAGGCTCTGCACCAAGCTTTGGTACCCAGGCTATGGCTCTGGTTTGGTACCAGGCTCTGGCTTCAAGCTCTGGTACCAGGCTTTGGTACCAGATCTGGCACCAGGACTTTGGTACCAGGCTTGGCTCCAGGCGTTGGTACAAGCTCTGGGTTCCTGGCTCTGGTCTCCATGCTTTGGTTCCAAGCTTCTGGTACCAGGCTCTGGCACCAGGCTTTGGTACCAGGTCTGCACAACGCTTGATACAAGGCTCTGGTTCCAGGCTCTTCACAGGCTCCTGGTAACAGGCTCTGGCGTCAAGACTTGGTATCAGGCTTTGGTACAGGCTCTGGCACCTGGTTTTGGACCAGGCTCTAGGGTACAGGATCTGGCACCAGGCGTGGTTCCAGGGCTTGACACCAGGCTTTCGGTATCAGGCTCTGTATCAGGCTCTGGCACCAGGGCTCGGGCACGAGGCTCTGGTACCAGACTCTGGCATAAGGTCTTGGTCCAGTCTCTGGATCAGGCTCGGGTACCAGGCTCTTGTAACCAGGGCTCTGGGGGATACCAGGCTTCTGGTAACAGGCTCTAGGTAACAGGCTCCTGCACGAGGCTCTGGTACAGGCTCTGGCGAGAGGGCTCTGGGTACCAGGCTTAGGCACCAGGCTTGGTATCAGGTTCTGGCATAAGGCTCTGGTACCAGACTCTTGCTCCAGGCCTCTGGTTCCAGGCTCTGGCACAGGTCTGGTACCAGGCTCTGGTTACTTGTTTTGGTACCAGGCTCTGGCACCAGACTCTGGCACCTGGTCTGGTACCTGGCTCTGGTACCAGGGACTCTGGTGCCTGTCTCTGGCACAAGGCTCTGGGATCAGCTCTGCCATCAGCTTTGGTAGCAGACTCTGGCACCAGGATTGGTTATAGACTTTGGCAACTGGCTCTGGTACCTGGCTCTGGTAACCAGACTCTGGCATAGCGTCTGGTATCAGGCTCTGGTACCAGGTTGGCATCAGTCTGGCAACCAGGCTTGGTACCAGACTCTATGGTACCAGGCTCTGGCACCGACTCCTGCACAGGCTTGGTTACCAGGATCTGATACCAGGGCTCTGGCACCAGGCTTTTGTACCAGCGCTGGCACCAGGCTATGGTACTCTGACGCCAGACTCTGGCACCAGGCTCTGGTACAGGCTCTGGCATCAGGCTCTGGTACCAGACTGTGGCTCAAGGCTTGGCATCGGGCTCTGGTACCAGACATCTGGCACCAGGCTCTGGCATTAAGCTCTGGTACGACCTCTAGGTCCTGGTGCGCTCTGGCACCAGGTCTGGTACAAGGCTCTTTGTTACTTGTCACTTGTATCATTTTTTCTTTCTTCAAGTAAGTTTGTTTAATGACTAGTTGCTTTAGAGGAAATTTCCTTGATTTTTAGCGATTGGTTTATTTGTCGAAGGAATTAGGGTTGTTTCCTTGGATCCAACCTGAATATCTTCCATATGGTGGGGTCGTCTAGGGATCGGTTAATTGGGGTGGGGGTAAAGGTAGGTTTTTTGTGTGAGTGGCTTGTGAATACAGCAAGCATGTGGAGTGTGTTTCGTGGAGTGAATGTTGACGAATGGTTTTTGCGAACTTTAACTGTTGGGAGTGCAAGCAGGCATTTTTTTGAAGGGATTCAGCGAAAACCGGTTTAGCCGGACGTGGTTCCTGGAGGTGGGTAGTACAACACCTGCATCATAAACGATATTTGCTATTTGGAGGGCATCTGAGCCGTTTGTATCTACGTGCCTCTGGCGAGACAGAGGGATAGTATGAATGATAGTGAAGTTTCTTTTTGGTCACCCGGCCTAGGTGGCAGACGGCCAGCGCTGTTTATTTATATATATATTATATATTATTTATATATAATTTATATATTATATATAGTGATATATATTTATTTATATATATATAGATATATAAATATCTATCCCCACATGGGGTGGGGAGCAATAAATCCGTAAGAGTCATGCAATGATTGGGGAATAAGGAACCTAAGAACCAGTGCCTTGGATCAAGAGCCTCACTCTTGATGTTTATCTCATTCACTTATGCTACTTCCACTTTTATCCATATTATCACAACATATATCCAGAATTTATCTAGATTCTTATCTGTGTTATCATCCAGACTATTATCATCCGGACTGTATCCAGCTTCCGACTTTCTAGTGTTATCAATGTTATCCAACTCCCTGTTATCTAGTGTTAGCTTGTGTTATCCAGATTGCTATGTCAATTATCCTGTTATCCATTACCCTGACTTGTTATCTAGCGTTATCCAGGCTGTGTTAATCATTATCCTAGTGCTATCTTTGTTATCTTGAATTTTATCGTGTTATCCATAGGGCAGACGGCGCTGATGTCAGCAGCCTTGTACGGGGAAGGTCAGATGGTCGACGTCCTGCTGGAAGCTGGTGCGAATCCCAATCTTCAGGACGACGCTGGTAATTTTAATACATTTATGGCGAAGGGCTAAACCTGCAAGGGTTCTACAGTGCCTGGGGGATGGGAGGAGGGTTAGGGGTCAGTCGGGTTTGATCCGAGTAAGAGGAGAGTAGCTCCATTTCTTTGCATTATGAACTCTTTGTGAGGAATAAAGAATAATGAAGGGCGAAAAGGCAACTAATTAGACAATGGGGCTATGTTTCGCTCTTCCAGTCCCAATGGATGTATGGACGGGAGGGTTGTTATACAAGAAATAGTAGCCAGGGACAGGTGGGTGTTGAACCCATGGGTGTGGCAATTCTCTTATGACGGCAGGCACCAGCACAGACACACACACCAGCAGACACACATACAGTAGGCACACACACCAGCAGGCGCACACACTAGCAGACACACACAACAGCAGACACAAACAACGGCAGACACACACCAGAGATTACACACGAGACCCACCCGAGAGAGAGGTGGGGTGGGTTGATTGCTTTTCTTGGACTGCAAGAAGGCCTTTCGACACTGGTCCTCACAAGAGGGATTAGTGTAGAAGAGAAGCTAGAGGATCAGGCGCATATAACAGGAAGGGCACTGCAATGGATCAGAGAATACCTGACAGGGAGGCAACAACGAGTCATGGTACGGGATGAGGTATCACAGTGGGCACCTGTGACGAGCGATGTCCCACAGGGGTCGGTCTAGGACCAGTGTATTTTGGTATATAAGAATGACTGATGGAAGGGATAGGACACAGAGGTGTCCTGTTGCAGATTGAAGCGAAAATTAAGAGGAGAATTAAATCAGATGAGGATCCAGCAATCTGGCTTCTTGAATTCAACCTGCCTATTGCAAAGTCATGAAGAGCGGGGAAGGCCAAAGAAGCCGCAGACAGTATAACTAGGTGGCCAAAAGAACTGCAAGGAGAAGATCTTGGGGGGCGACCATAACACCGAGTATGTTGGAAGCACACATTTAACCAGATTACTGCTGCAGCATATGGGCGCCTGGCAACTGAGAAATAGCGGATTCAGATATTAGTAAGGAATCGTTCAAAGACACTGTACACCGTGTACTCGGCCCATACTGGAGTTTGGCAGCACCTGTTTGGATCCCCCTGGGCGCAAACACGTCAAGAATTGGAAAGGCTAGTCCGGAGACTCAGGGGTATATCCTACGAAGAAAGGTTGAGGAAAATCGGACTGACGGAATTGGAGGATAGAGGGTAGGGGAGACATGATAAGACATAAAAATACTGCGTGGAATAGATAAGGTAGAAGAAGAGGACAGGTTGTTCAGAGAGGGACCCCGGAACAAGGGGTCACAATTGGAAGCTGAAGGACTCAGACAAGTCAGAGGGAGTTAGGAAAAGTATATCTTCAGTATTGAGTCGTCAGGAAGTGAATACCTAGCATGTGATGTAGTGGAGGCCAGGAACCATCCTAGCTATAAGGCGAGGCATGTCAAAAGCTTGAGCAGAGAAAGGGCCTAATAGCGATCAGTGGAAGAGGCGGGCTAGGCGTGAGTCTCGACCCTGCAACCACAATTAGGTGGAGTACACACCATCTAATACACACACCAACAGATACACCACACTAGCAGATACACACACAGCAGTACACACAACCAGCAGCAAACACACACCAGAGAACAAACACCAGCGATACACACACTAGCAGGACACCACAGCAGATATCAACCAGCAGACACAAACACCAGCAGATACACACCAGCAGACCCTCACACCATGCAGACAACACCCAGAAGATACACACACTAGCAGATACACACAGCAGACACACAACACCATGAGTGAGTAGTATCGACCCATGCAACCAAAATTAGGTGAGTACACAGCAGACATGCACACACCAGCAGGACAACACACCAGCAGAACAATGGTCAGAAACTGGCTTCTCGAATTCAATCCTGCCAAATGCAAGTATGAAGATTGGGGGAGGGGCAAAGAAGAAGCAGACAGGACAGAATATAGGCTAGGTGGACAAAGGACTACAGACCTCAAATCAGGGAGAAGACCGCGGGGGTGACCTAACACGAGCACGTCACGGAGGCACACATCAACCAAATAACTGCTGCAGCCTTTAGGCGCCTGACAAACTGAGAATAGCGTTCCGATTCCTTATTAACGGAATCGTTCAAGCACTGTCACTGTGTATGTCAGGCCTTACTGTGTATGCAGCTCCAGTCTGGAACCCACACCTGGTCAAAGCACGTCAAGAGTTAGAGAAAGTACAAAGGTTTGCAACAAGGCTGTACAGAGCTAGGGGGATAGTGTACGAGGGAAGGTGAGGGAAATGGGACTGACGACACTGAGGAAGAGGGTCAGGGGAGACAGAGACATGATAACGACATACAAGTACTGGGGCATTGACAAGGTTGGACAAGAGATAGGATGTTCCAGTGAGGGGACACAGAAACAAGGGTCACAATGGAAGTGAAGTCAGGACGAGTCACATTGAGGTTTGGAAGTATTTCATTCAGTCATTAGAGTCGTCAGGATCAGGAAGTGGAATTAGCCTAGCAAGTGAAGTAGTGGAGGCAGGAACATAATTAGTTTTAAGAAGAGGTTATGACAAAGCTCAGGAAGCAGAGAGGAGGGGAGAGGACTAGTAGCGATCAGTGAAGAGGGCGGGGCCCAGGAGCTGAGTCTCGATCCCTGCAACACAATTAGGTGAGTACAATTAGTGATTACAATTAGGTGAGTACACCAGGCTGATTACACACACCAGCAGACACACAGGAGCACTCAACCTGCAGACCACACACCAGGAGACCCACCAGCAGACACCATAACCAGGAGCACACACCAGCAGACAAAGGCTTAGTAAGCAGTGGTCACCAAGATATCAGACACAGTACTCACCTAATTGTGGTTGCTGGGGTCGATTCGTAGCTCCTGGTCCCGAGTGTTACGTAACAGAACACAGTGCAACTAATGCAACATTTTATTGTGGCAGTCAGATTTGATGGAAGAGAGGATAGTTCAAGTTCCTTGGAACAAGAGCCCTTCACTGCCATCAAGGCACCTAGAAGGGACCGATCCTCCTATACATTGACTTAATATAATTATCTACAATTTCTTGATTTTCTATATTCAGTTTCTTAAATTTAAGATATGGCGAGAATATTTCAGTATCTTACAATTAAAAATATTTTACATGGTTGCATTACTATATTCACAAAGCACAAAACTTGTATGGGTTATTCACTGCTGTCTGGCTGAAGGGGTTGATGTCAGGTATGACTAAAATCCTAAAAAAAAATTGTTTAACAGGCAACACAGCGCTGATCTGGGCGAGCAGACGAGGTCGTGCTGAGGTTATTCCCAGGCTGCTGCAGGCTGGTGCTGACCCCTCCATCACTGACAACAACAGTAAGGACCATCAGTGTTGTTCCTAATAAGATGTCTCTAAGTCACTGAACAACACTTGAAGTGACTATATTGATGACAACCAAACTAATACTTTACCATTATTATTTTCATTATTTACACCCAAAAGGTACTTTAGAAAAATAAAAGCATAGCTACAAACATGAGAATAACCAGAAACATAAGAGTAAAAGACTAGGGAAACACAGCAGTGGATCTAATAGTTCATGCTAGATACCTACTGAGGAACTAGACTTGTGCAAATCCCGGTATCGTAATTTGAAGATGCGTCATCATCCAGTGGCTTTATCAGTTCAATACGAAGTTGATATATAAAGACATCAGAAGATGTAGAAATCAGTCCCTCAGCTCAGAAGTTAGTGTTCAGTACCTTAGTCATGATCAAGACTAAGATAGTGAATATTGGTTCCTAGACTGAGAGTGTGATTGCCACATCTGATGTCTTTATATGTCAATAATGTACTGAACTGATAAAGCCACTGTATGGCGAAGTGTTCAAATAATATTATACATGCCTGACTTCTCATCTAGTATAGCCACTAGTGCTTATACTAGTGATTATACCATTGGTCATACCATTGGTCATACCATTGGTCATACCATTGGTCATACCATTGGTCATACCATTGGTCATACCAGTGGTCATACCAGTGGTCATACCAGTGGTCATACTAGTGGTCATAAAGCACCTGGGGGGTATGAGTGGTAATAAGGTTTGAGCCAAGGAAGGGAAGGATAGTTCCAATTCCTTGCATGATAAGCCCCCTCAACAGCTTCAGTTATTATTACAATCAAAAGTAAACGCTAAACCCACACGGTCAAGGATGATACAGCCGCTGATCTACGTCTTCAAGATACTCATCTCCCTTAAAGGAAACGAAACTGTAGCTTGGGCAAAATTATCAAATGAACCCAGAAATTGCAACAACTCTTGGCTTCTCAACTTTGAATCAAATGGACTTAAATTAATTTGCAATAAACAAATGTCAATGAATAAAGATAAGGGTGGATGAGGGGCTCGAACTGCAGTCTGCAAATAGACAGTCCGACACCCGTCCACCCTTAGAATCAAATAATTACAAGTTGGAATGATGGAAAGTAACTATTTATATACATGTCAAATTTATAAATGCCTAGTATTCTAATCAATTTTAACTTATTGTAAGTCACACAAATAATAAATGATATTCTTATACCACAGAGAAGACAGCTGTGCAGTGGGCAGCCAGGAGAGGTCACACCAGGCTGGTGAAGCAGCTGCTGAGGTCATGTTCTGACACCTCCAGTACTACCACAGGTCAGTTCAGTGACTCGTATTATTATTACAATCAAAACTAAGAGTTAAATCCGCAAGGGTCATGCAGTCAGTGGCTCATAGGTCCTAAGACCAGTATTGACAGCTGACTGTGGTCCACACTTTAATAGTTTTCCCACAGCTTAGGCCTTCCCACCATCATGGTTTTTATAATTATCAAGGATCCTGTAGAGACAATGGCAGATTTTTAGATTAATACTTTTTAATTTATTCCAGTTATTTTAACATGGTATAATATTTATTTTGTTCATTGTTTTTATCCTTGTTTTTATTGTTGCATATATTTTTAATGGCTCTGAGTGACTTAAACCATCAAGGAGGCGCTAAAAAGTCCAGCCTTGAAATAGACATGAATGGGAATAGCTAGAGAAGTTACATTTATGTGTGTGTGTGTGTGTGTGTGTGTGTGTGTGTGCGTGCGTGTGTGTGCGTGTGTGTGTGTGTGTGTGTGTGTGTGTGTGTGCGTGTGTGTGCGTGTGTGCGTGGTGTGTGTGTGTGTGTGTGTGTGTGTGTGGTGTGTGCGTGCGTGTGTGTGTGTGTGTGTGTGTGCGTGTGTGCGTGTGTGTGTGTGTGTGTGTGTGTGTGTGTGTGTGTGTGTGTGTGTGTGTGTGTGTGTGTGTGTGCTTTGTGGTTGTGTGTGTGCGTGTGTGCGGTGGTGTGTGTGTGTGTGTGGTGTGTGTGCGTGCGTGTGTGTGTGGTGGTGTGTGTGTTTTGTGTGGTGTGTGTGTGTGTGGTGTTTTTTGTGTGGGTGTGAAATCACCTAGTTGAGGTTGCAGGGGTCGATCCAAGCTCCCCCTTCCTCTTCCCTGTCGCCATTGGGTCCTCCCCCTAAACCCGTGAGCTTTACATCCTCTGTTAAAGCTATTATGAATCCTGCCTCCACACATCGCTTCCAAACTTTTCCACTTCCTGACTACCTGGGCTGAAGAAAACCCCTAACACCCTGTATTCATCTGTTCTTCAACTTCCCAAAAATTTCCCCTTTTTGTTGTGTCCCCTCTCTGGGAAAATTCTGCTTTGTCCACCTTTTTCAATTTCCCTTTTGTTTTTTATGTCTTTTCATGTCCCCCTTGTTCTCCGTCCCCCAGTGTCGCAGGTTGATTTTCCTTTAACCCCTCCTCGTAGGACATACCCTTACTCTGGGACTAGTCTTGTTGAAAACCTTTCACTTTCTCTAGTTTTTTCAGTGCTTTTCCTAGGGGGTGTGTGTGTGTGTGTGTGTGTGGTGTTAAAGTATGTATGTATGTGTGGTGTGTATGTGTAGTATGTGTGTGTGTGTGTGTGTGTGTGTGTGTGTTGTGTGTGTGTATGTAAAAGTAGTATGTATGTGTGTTGTGTATGTTATGATGTGTGTGTGTGGTGTTGTGTGTGTTTGGGGTGTGTGTGTTATGTATTATGTGTGTGTGTGTGTGTATGTGTATGTAGTATGTATGTGTGTGTGTGTGTGTGTGTGTGTGTGTGTGTGTATGTATGTATGTATGTGTGTGTGTGTATGTGTATGTATGTGTGTGTGTGGTGTGTGTGTGTGTGTGTGTGTGTGTGTGTATGTATGTATGTATGTGTGTGTGTGTATGTGTATGTATGTGTGTGTGTGTGTGTGTGTGTGTGTATGTATGTGTGTGTGTGTGTGTGTGTGTGTGTGTGTGTGTGTGTGTGTGTGTGTGTGTATGTGTATGTATGTGTGTGTGTGTATGTGTATGTATGTATGTATGTGTGTGTGTGTATGTGTATGTATGTGTGTGTGTGTATGTGTATGTATGTGTGTGTGTGTGTGGTGTGTGTGTGTGTGTGTGTGTATGTATGTATGTATGTGTGTGTGTGTATGTGTATGTATGTACTCACCTATTTGTACTCACCTATTTGTGGTTGCAGGGGTCGAGTCACAGCTCCTGGCCCCGCCTCTTCGCTGATTGCTACTAGGTCCTCTCTCTCTCCCTGCCCCATGAGCTCTATCATACCTCGCCTTAAAACTATGTATGGTTCCTGCCTCCACCACATCACTTTCTAGGCTATTCCACGGCCTGACTACTCTATGACTGAAGAAATACTTCCTAACATCCCTTTGATTCATCTGAGTCTTCAACTTCCAATTGTGACCTCTTGTGTCTGTGTCCCATCTCTGGAACATCCCGTCTTTGTCCACCTCGTCTATTCCGCGCAGTATTTTATATGTCGTTATCATGTCTCCCCTGACCCTCCTGGCCTCCAGTGTCGTCAGGCCGATTTCCCTCAACCTTTCTTCATAGGACAATCCCGTAGCTCTGGGACTAGTCTTGTTGCAAACCTTTGCACTTTCTCTAATTTCTTGACGTGTTTTGATAGGGTGGTTTCCCAAACTGGGCTGCATACTCCTATGGGCCTGACGTAGTGGGGTCAGAGTCTTAAAAACGAATCCTTACTGAGGTATCGGAACGCTACCGTAGGTTTGCCACGCCCTTTTGCTGCAGCGTTATCTGATTGAGGGCCCCTCGGAGATATCTCGGTGTTATACTCACCCCCGATCTTTTCCTTTAGTGAGGTTTGCAGTTTTTGGGCCACTAAACTATATTGTGTCTGGGGTCTTTTTTTTCCCCTTTCCCCCAATCTTCATGACTTTGCTTTTGGGGCAGGGTTAAATTAAAGGGAGCCATTTGCGGACCCAGCTTGTAGCCTGTCCAGATCTTTTTTGTATTCCTGCCGATCCTCGTCCGTTTCGATTCTTTCATTAACTTCACATCGTCTGAAAAAAGGGGACATTTCTAGTCTTCCCTTCCTTTTAGTCGTTCACTATACCAAGAACCACAGGTCCTAGACTGACCCCTGGGGGACCCGCTTGTCACAGGGCCCCTCTGACACCTCGTGGGTCCCATGACTCGTTTTTCCTCCCTTCAGGTATTCTCTGACCCATTGCAGTGCCTTTCTGTTTTGTGTGCCTGGGCCCCACTTTTGCAGTAACCTCTTTGAGAAAAGTGTCGAAAGCCTTCTTGCAGTCCAAAAATACGCGTCGACCACCCCTCTCTCTCTTGTCTTACTTCTGTCACCCCTTTCATAAAACCTAGTAGGTTTTTGACCAGGATTTTCCTTCCCTGAAAAAACCTCGGTTGTCAAATTTTACACTTTTTTTTTTCCAGGTGCCCCACCCCCTCTCCTCCTGATGATCTTCTCCCGACCTTGCATACTATACACGTTAAGATACAGGTCTGTGTTTAGTGCCTATGTCTGTCTCCCTTTTTAAAAATTGGGACTACATTTGCCATTTTCCCATACCTCAGGGTTGCCCATTTCAAATGATGTGTTTAAGATCTTTTTAATGGCTCACACAATCTCTGCTCCCTCTTTAAAGGCCCATGGAGGATGTTGTCGGTCCCACCGCCTTTGAGGTGTCAATTCGCATAGCAGCTTTTCACCCCTCCTTGGTTAATGTCCCATCCCACTTTTGGTGTCCCCCCTTTTCTGATTTCTTGGAGTCCTACTGGTTTCCACTTAAATACTCTTTTAAAAATTGTGTTTACTCCGACATACCTCTCGGTCGTTTTTGGAATTCCCCATCACCCTTCCCCAGTTGATTACCCGGTCCCTTGACTGTTGTTTTCCCCTGAGTGGCTGTACAACACTTTGGGTCAGTCTTTACTTTTTATGCTTTTTCTTTTCAATTTTTCTCTGAGCCTCCCCTTCTTATCTGTGCATATTTTGTTTTTTTGGCTCTTCGGCTGATTTCTCTATTCTCCTGATTCTCTGTTTCGTCCTTTTCCATTCTCTAGTAAAACCCAGTTTTTTGCCTCCCTACAAACCCTTTTGGGGGAACCAAGGGTCGTTCTGTTTTTCCCCTTATTTCTGTTTCCCTTGGGAACAAACCTCTCCCCTGCCTCCTTGCATTTTGTTGCTACATAGTCCATCTTTTTCTTGTACTGGTTTTCCTGTCAGTTCCCTCTCCCACTGAATGTCTTGAAGGAAGTTCCTCATGCCTGAGTAGTTCCCCCTTTTGTAGTTTGGTTTTCCCAGCCTATTCCTGCTACTCTCTCCACTTGGAGCTCAACTATGTAGTCGAAGCACAGAACCA